GATAAAATGAGTAAAAGCAGGCACTTACCAGTCTAGTTACAGAAAGTTTATTTTCCATGGTTTATCAAAGCAGAGTTGGAAAGATAGCAAAAGATACTGTGCCAAAAAGTTTTATGAGTTTCATGAGCATAAGTAAACATATTTCTTGTCATGAATCTCAAACAACAAAACATTGTGGTAATGGAATAAAGCTGAAGACTCTTCAAAATAAATAGCAAACAACCATCTGCCTTATAAAGAGCCATTGAAGGGAGACATTTCAATACAGCAAGGTTCTTTTCCTGACACCTGATTTAGCCAAGAAAATGATAACTAGCTCAAGGAATGTCAAAGAAGGTATAGTCTGGAAGAAGGGATCACACAAGGATACTTGGCACATACTGGTGTTTTATCCACTTGGAATGAAATTCAAATTAACTGTATATATATATACACATATATATTAATATCGACACAGCCTTCTGATGTATCATTTCATATTAGATTGATGTGTTTTGTTTCCCTTCTTCAGTTAAACTAAATTTATATTTAGAATAAATCTTGACTAGTGTAAATAAATAAAACAGCTTTCTCTTTGAATGTGAAGAAAGGTGTACTCCACCACAGGATCATTTTGCTCACTGTATGACAGCATCAGGAAATTCAGTACTGGACACAACTGACCCAGAAGAAATAAGACATTACTTCAGTGGGAAACATGCAAGACTTTATGGAATCCAGGAGCCTAATTAGGTGGAAAGGAAATGTGATCCTCCTCCCCACAGACAGACTCCCCATATACACGCACATGCACAGAGACTGAAAGAGAGACACACATGCACAGAAAGAAAGAGAAAGAGCAAAAGAGTGGTGCTAAAGGATAACCTTCTAGACTGTAAAGTTGGTTTGAACTGCAAGGTCAGTGGTTCAAACTCGCCAGTTCCTCCTTGGAAACCCTATACAGGGTTGTTATGAGTTGGAACTAATTGCAATTAACAACATCAACGTTACTATCTGGGAATATGGTGGCTCTATATGATAAGCACCAGACTGAGAACAACAAGGTCCATGGTTCAAGCCTGCCAGTTACTCCATGGGAAAAAGATGAGGCTTTCTGCTCCTGCGAAGGTTTAAAACTTTTTGCAGGATGTTACTATGAACGAAATCGACTCAATGTCACTTAACAAAAACATATTACTATCTACATTGGGATTAGACATACCTTTTTTAAGAAGTCTATTTGAAATAAATTAGGAATTTCATAAGAGAATCCAGCAAACCATTGATATAAAGCAGAACAGGCCTGGGTAAGCTATTTTTAGCCTCATTGCACTGAATATGGAGGAGGAGTACAGTAATATGTTTCAAACATCAAATTAGCTCATGAGATGAAGGATGCCCCCAAATTTAGAACAAAACCACAAAAACCCACTGCCATTATGTTAATTCTGACTTATAGAACCTCACAGTGACCCTAGTCCTAGTGTGATGCTGTAGGGTAAGCAATGGGTTACTAACCGCAAGGTCAGTAGTTTAAACTGACCAGCCACTCCTTGGAAGCCCTACAATGGGTCTTCAGGAGTTGAAACCAACTGGGTGGCACTTAACAAAAACAACATAATAGAGAAAAGACAAATTTAAATTAAATCTGTCAATATGACTACATTTTATATTCATACTGTAATTTAAATTACAATTAATAGTTGAGAAAAGTAATTGCTATGGTTATATTTTTATTTTGAACAAATATTAATTTTATGTATATGGGAACATTTTTATTCTGATACTGTATAAACTATACATAAGCTAACTATAATTCAATACTTGTCATTAAGTGTAGCAATAGTTTACAGTCTTACCAGATACGGTATGCCACCCACTGAACAATTTTATATAAGTAAATATTATTTATTATTTGATATTAAGGAAGAATATTACCCAGATAAAATCAGTAACAACCACTTTTAATATATCCAAATAAATACGATGCATTTACAAAAGAGACTTTATAAAACGTCTAGATTTCAGATTCTAATCACCACTTTTTCTAATTTGGCTATCCCACCAATCCAGAATATTAAATCACATTCTTTCTGAGCCATGGTAAAATGGATCTGGCTGCCTGCACAGGAAGTAAGGGGAAAAATGACTATATTTATAGCTTTGGGTGGTGCCTACATTACATCAAGAGCCCCCTTTCCTAAAGAACAAAGACAGTGGTGAATAAAGAGTTGTACTGTCTTCCCCAAACTCAGGCTTGGCTCTGTATGTTGTTTTGATGAAACGCAATGTAGAAAAGACTCATTCCATATTCCACTAAGAAGAAATACATTGTTTGATGTGCAATGTCACAGCCACTATAATCAGAAAGTGGCTGTAGCTGCTCACCTATAATCAAACACTTTCTTTGTTTCTAATTACACCACCTTGGCTTTTGTTTAGGTGTTACTTCAGAAGTAAAAAGTGAAGGGTACAGACAAAATTTTAAGTAGTGGAGTCAATCCTCAAAAAAGCCAGCAGGGGAAAAAAATATAAGAATTATCAGGGAAGCAGTAGCAAAACTCAGGCATTCTAAAAATCACTGACTTTTTGGCCCAATTCCTTTGCTAATTCAGATGATTTTCACAGCTTCTAATTAGAGTCCTAAGGAGCTCTGATAGTGTAGTGTTTACGAATTGGGTTGTGAACCTCAAGGTCAGCAGTTCGAAACTACCAGCTGTTCCACGGGAGAAAAATGAGGATTTCTGCTGCCGTAAAGATTTACAGCCCCGGAAACCCTGTATAGGGTCACTATGAGTCGGAACAGACTCCACAGCACATCACAACAAATTAGAGTCCTGGTGTGGTGCTGTGGGTTAATGTGCCAGACAGCAAACTCGGTTTGAACTGCAAGGTTGGTGGTTCAAGCTCACCAGTTGCTCCTTGGAAACCCTATCCAGGGTTGCTATGGGTTGGAACCGACTCGATGACACTTAACAACAACAACAATTAGTTTTCTTAAACCATTATAGGCAGACTTTGCTTACAAATATTGTACTCAATGGCCACAAATTACTTGGGCATTCTTGCTAACAGTTTTTTCCTTAAAATAGATGATTACATTTTACTGCATTTTCTTTTGGGGGGAATAATTATGTTGTAATAATGTACAATGTATGAAGTAACAAAGATTAATTTAGGGATAATAGTAAATGAGTCAAGGCAAACATAAAAGTATTCTTCTACAAATAATCTAAGATCTTAGATACATGATCTATTGATTTGGGAGATTATGGTTTCTGGTGTTGAAAGCATATTTACCCACACTCTACCTCCTATTTCATAATACGGTTCAGATTTCTGTTTACATTCTATCATTAAGTTCTACACTTTGCCTTTTTACTATCTTAGTTTATAACGAGAGGGATAAACTGTTATGCAACCAACTTACTCAAACATCCCCAATAACTATATTTTAGAAAGGAAAAGACTGAAAATACTTAACTATACCCAACACAAGATTTTAGTTATTGAAGGTTCATGGTTCTAAATACACCTCAAATACATTTATTTATCTTTGGTACTTTTAATCTACGTTCAGTAGAATAAATTTGTATGTGGCATATAGGATAAATTCAGGTTTAATGTATTTTCACACACATTCTCCTACCTCATATCAACTAAAATGGCAAAAACAAATCTCCAGAAAAAACTTTTAAAACACTGACTTTATGAGAATATTTATGTTGCATAAATGAGAAGTTATGCTCTATCGTCTTAAGAAAAAATTTCTAGTCGAAGAAATAAATTGATTTAAATAATCTAAAAATTGATACAATAATTTCTTTAATATTTCTGTTGTTGTTGTTGTTGTTAAGTGCCGTCAAGTCGGTTCCGACCCATAGCGACCCTGTACAGGGTTTCCGAGGGTATAAATCTTTACGGGAGTAGAAAGCCTCATCTTTCTCCCGCGGAGCGGCTGGTAGTTTCAAACCGCTGACCTTAAGGTTCTGTTGTTGTTAAGCACCATCAAGTCAGTTCTAACTTGTAGAGACCCCATACAGGGTCCAAGGAATGGCTGGTAGGTTGAACCATATGCTTCATAATCCAGTGCTGACCCTAGAGTGCCACACCTGGATTCCTTAATACTACTAGAAACATCAACATTATTCTAAATATTGATATAAACATGGGAATCCTGGTGTGGGTTAATGTACTAGACTGCAATGTTGGTTTGAACTGCAGGTCGATGGTTCAAACTCACCAGCAGCTCCTTGGAAATCCTATATAGGATTGCTATGAGTCAGAACTGACCTGATGGCACTTAGAAACAACAAAAGCTACACACATCTTAGATGGTTTTAAATTTTTGTAAAATGATCAAGCTTTTAATCATAGATAAATGTAACACATGCATTTATTCTATTTGAAAAATGCTGATGGAACTTGTATTTCAATATTAGAGCTAAAATATCATATTTTAGAAAATTATAAGCTCCCCAGCCCCCGTTATCTTTGGGAAGAATATTCTTTCACAGATTGGCAATTTCTCAATCTTTCTTGAGTCGATTATGCTTCTCCCCCCCAACCCCCACCCACTTAGTGACCAGTGAAGCAATACTATTCAATAAAACAATTAAAACACTTTAGCATATATGGCATAGTACCAATTAGTAAAGTATCATTTTATAGATATTGTATCTTGCTTCAGCATTTTCTCTTTACTCCAATTTTAGTTTTGGGTATAATTTTGGAGATAAAGTGAAAAATGAAATTATTAGGGAAAAATAGAAATGGCTGGATTACTTCCATTTTCATTCTCACATAGCAACTGAGATAGTAAATCAGATGCAAAAGCTCCAGAATGCTCTCCATTCAAACCCATTAAGGCTAATATACACAAATGATTAACAAAACTACTTGATCATTACATCTACAAGTTTATACTGAAACAAAGAACAATTATTCTTTACAAGTCATTCACCTTCTTCTTAAATTCAAAATAAGCAGTTAAGTACATCTCCCCAAGCAGAGACACTTACCTTCACACTTCTGATTAGTTTCACTCTGCTTGTGACCAGCAGGACATTTGCACTCAAAGGAGCCCACTGTATTGACGCAGTTTCCTCCTTGACATATCCCAGGAATAGCCTGGCATTCATCAACATCTGCAAGAAGAAAACATTTTCAACAGAGATGAAGTACATTTTTAGAATATTTATCAATATATTTATATAATGGATGAAAGAAATTCAGTTATTCTCAAAAGAATGGGAAAAGGAAATGAATCAGAACCCATTTGTAGGTAAATATTTTAATTTATATAAATTTAATCTGATATAAATAAGTAATAGCATGACTCTATTGTGGCTTAGTGGATTAATGTGCCAGACTGTAAAGCCATTTGAACTGCAAGGTTGGTGGTTCAAGCTCACCAGCTACTCCTTGGAAACCCTATACAGGGTTGCTATGGGTCGGAATTGACTTGATGGCACTTAACAATAAATATAAATATATAATATAAAAAAGGGGTAAAAATGAGTTTTATAATATTCTGTATAATATTTATATTCTATATAAAATTTATATGAAAACTCACTTCCATCCCTTTTTTCTCCTAGGGATTTCGTTTTAAGACCCATGTTGTCATGTATACACGCACACTGTTACTTTGACTTGCTGAAGAATATTCTTGGCGTGAACATCAAGTATGCCTACAACTTCTCACTCCCTGAGGGAATGATGCAATGGCCATCTTCCTTTGGTCTTTTTAGTAACTGAATGATTTCTATGAACTTTGAGGACTCAAAAGGACTCTATCTCTTACTTACAAACCCAAAAATAGAGTTACTAGATCATAAAGTATACCAGAGCTGTTATGAATAAATTGTTCAAGACAGTTCTTTAGAATGTCAGGGACAGGATCAACACCCACGAATGCCTACACACTCATGAATAGTATAAACATCTCTACTGTTATACTAGTTCCTGTTTTCTCTTCCCAAATAAAACATGATATAACTATTCAATACCCTAATTTTCTTCAGCTAGCAACTGTAAAGGGTTATTAATTATTTTATGTGCACTCATTGAATTACTATGCTTGGTATCTTTTTAATTCCCTCATATAAAAGCTAATTATATTCCTTAAAAATCATTTATATTGGAATTGTAGTTTTGTGGCTATATGCTATTGAGCCAGTTCCAACTCACAGCAACCCTATGTACAACACAACGTACCATCCCCACAATTGTTGTTACCTTTAAGACAATTATTTTTGCCACTGGGCCAATTCATCTCATAGGGACCATCCTCTTTTTCACTAACTCTCCAATTTACCTCTTTATAACATGGGTTTGGTGCTGTGGGTTAATGTGCTGGACTGAAAAATTGGTTTAAACCCTAAGGTCGGCAGTTTAAGCTCACCAGCAGCTCCTAGGAAACCCTATGATTATGACTCAGCAGGAACTGACTCTACAGCACTTAATAACAACATGTTCGAAGTTTGAGAGTCCAAATATCACTGTCCTAGTTCTAAGGAACATTCTGGCTATATTTCTCCTACAACAAATCTGATTATTCTTCTAAAGTCCATGGTATTTTCAATATTCTTCTCCAAAACCATTAATTCAAATTCATCAATTCTTCTAAGACCTTCCTTATTTATTGTGAGAATTTCATATGTAAATGAGTTGAATGAAAACACCACGGCTTAGGAAAAGTGCACCTTAGTCCTTACACTGACAGTTTTGCTCTTGAACACTTTTAAGAGGTCTTGTGCAGCAGAGTTTTCTAATGTAATATATTGTTCGATTTCTTAACTGCTGCTTCCATGAGTGCAGATTGTAGATCCATGCAAAATGAAGTCATTGGCAACTACAATTATGTTATTTATTGGTCCAGTGGTGAAGACTTTTGTTTTCTTTACATTGAAGTGCCATCCATACAGAACGCTGTCATCTTCAATCTTCATCAGTATTTTAAGTCCTCTTCTCTTCCAATAGAGTTGTATCATTTGCATCCTGTTCTTGTTAATGAGTCTTTCTTCAATCCACATGCCACGTTCTTCTTCATATAACCCAGCTTCTCAGATTATGTGCTCAGCATTCAGATGGAATACGTATGGCAAAAGCATACAATCCTGGCACACACCTTTCCTGATTTTAAACCATTCAGGATCCCCTTGTTCTAGCTGAACAACTGCCTCTTGGTCTATGTACAGTCTCCTCCTGAACATAAGTGTTTGGAATAACCGTTCTTTGCAATGTTATCTCTAGTAGTAGGACAACAAAGGAAACGGAAGAATACTATTATAAAGTTATTACATTATAAGTGATGTGATATAATGTCATTTAAAAATAAGCTGTTGTAAATAGTTTAAAATCATACAAAATGTGTTCTCTAAACAGTTAGACTAGAAATTGTTAATAGAAAACACCTGGGATAGACCTAAACAATTTTAAAATTTAATAATATGATTTCAAATATTCCATGGGTCAGAAGAAATCACAAGGAAAATCAGAAAATATTTTTAATTAAGTGAAAATGAAACATAGCATGTCAAACTTAATGAGATGAGCTAAAGTCGTACTTAGAAAGGTAAACTTACAGTATTAATCACTTACATTACAAACAGAGAAAGACCCAAAAGCAGTGATCTAAATGTTCTTAGTAGGAAGTTAAAAAAAGAACAGCAAGTTAAATATGCAATACAAAGAAGCAAGAATATAATAGCAGTAAGAATGGAGATAAAATATAAAGAAAAAAAAAAGATAAATAGAGCTAATGAATCTAAACCCCACCTGTCTGGAAATATTAGTAAATTAATAGATCTCTATCAAGACTGATAAAGAGAGAAAGAGAAGATATAAATTACAAATAAGAGTAAGAGTGAGGACCATCACCACAAATTCCCCACAGATTAAAAGGAACATGGAAATATTACCAACAACTTTATAGCAATAATTCAACAAGTCAGATGATATGTACTAATACCTTGACAAACACAAGCACCAAGGCTCATTCAAGGACTAACAGATTCACTGAAGTAACAGGTATCAGTCTATTCAGATGGCTCAGAACTGAGCAGTGTTTTGTTCTGTTGTACATGTTGTTGTTAGGTGCAATCGAGTTGATACCGACTCATAGCTACCCTATGCACAACAGAAAGAAACACTGCCCAATCCTGGGCCAATCTCACAACTGTTGCCATGCTTGAGCCCACAGATGCTGCAACTTTGCCAATCCATCTCGCTAGGGTTTTCCTCTTTTTCTCTGACCCTCAATCTTACCAAACATGATATTCTTCCACAGCAATTTGTCCCTCCTGACAATATGTCTGAAGTATGAGAGACGAAGTTTAGCCATCCTGGCCTCCAAGGAGCACTCTGGCTGCACTTCTTCCAACACAG